GGTCCCTGTTTTCAGTGTGGTGCTCTTAACCTCAGCTGTGCATAGTATTTCCTCCCAGTCCAGATATCCTGTGTTTTAATCTCTAGAAAATAAACCTAGTCTTTTGTCAGAGTGAGAGAAGGCAATCGCCTAGAGCTAAGGAAGGGAACTGAACTGAGGTCCTACTGCTTCTTAAACTTATTTTCTGAGAGTTTTCCTTATTTTAGTCCCTCTGCTTCATCCCCAGTTCCAGAGCTATTTGGTGCCACCAATTTCTGAGAGGTTTTTGTTTTTGTTTTTTTAAATCAGGAGACGTGGGTAAGGGGTTAGGGAGTGTAAATCAGGTTTACACCAGTTTCTGAGGGTTCTTTTGTTTTTGTTTTAAATCAGGAGAGGTGGGTAAGGTGTTCTGGAGTATAAATCAGGTTAGTTCTTGGCTCTTCCCACAGCTAGCTTAAGATTCAGTTTTCTCAGATCTGGTGAAGTGTTTTCAACTCTTCCGTCAGCTTCCAGTATATCTTAACTGTTGGTTCCTCTCCTGTTCTCATCCTTTGTAGTTTATGCCTTTAAAAAAAAATCCTTTTATTATTGTTTAAGTGGAGTTTTGGGAAGGAGTAAAATTAGATACATAGGTTTAATTCACCATCTTACACATAAGTCTTTTTGGTTACATTCTTTTTAAGATTTTTATGGTCATTGGTTTAACATGGGGGAGCCCTGGTGGCGCAGTGGTTAAGAGCTCGGCTGCTAACCGAAAGGTCGGCGGTTCAAACCCACCAGCTGCTCTGTGGGTGAAAGATGTGGCAGTCTGCTCCCATAAAGACTACAGCCTTGGGAATCCTGTGGGGCAGTTCTACTCTGTCCTGTAGGGTCACGATGAGTCAGAATCAACTCGATAACAGTAGGTTTGGTTTTGGTTGGTTTAATTATGATTAATTTTGTTTCCATTTCTATTTTGCAGTTCCTGATGAGCATCTATTATCGTAAGTTATATTATGTTGTGTTTGGGGTTTTTTTAACCATTAGTGTGTTTTAAGAGCCAAATCCTTCCAACATCAACTCTTAATTTTTAAAAATATTCTTACTAAACTGGGAACAATATTTTCTTGACATGATTATTAAAAATCTGAAGTGAAGAGTACAAGGCATTCCCATATTGTCCTATTTGCCATTCTTGTTTGATAATTGTTCTAGAAGTTATAGCTGACATACTAACACATGAAAAAGAAATTAGAAGTTTTGTTGTCTGCAAGGAAAGACAGTTATCATTATTTGCAGATGATGTAACTACATATAAAAACCCAAGAGAATACAGTAAAATGGCCAGTTTTTAAAAATGCAGAAATTAAAAACATTATCCTTCATACCACAAAGTTCAAAAATATAATTACATCCTCAATAGCAATGAAAAAGCGAAAGCTACCTAAGAATAAGTGACTTTTAATTGTTTATATACTTATATTTAAAAGTCCAAAAGGGTACACACTAACCTGTACTAGTGGTTATCTTAGGTGGGTGGAAGGGAGGTAGAATTTAGGGAAAGGCTTTAATCTTTTCTCTGTTTTTTAAAAATTTTACAAGGATTGCATATTATTTTTAAAAAATTACTACTTTAAAAACAAAAAAACTGGGCAAATAATAAAAACATAAATGGCCAAAAACTTTTAAAACAAAAGATGAATGTTAAAATCATAAAGATACGAATTAAAATAAGATAAATTTTCATCTATAAAACTGGCAACAACAAAAAAAGATAATTCCAGAGGTTGGCAAGAATATGGGGAAAGAGATCACTGCTGCCCTGCTAATAGGAGTGTAAATTAGAAGATAGGCAATGTTGTTGTGTGCCATCAAGTCGGTTCCAACTTATAGTGACCCTACATGATGGAGTAGAACTGCCCCCATACGGTTTCCTAGACTGTAATCTTTACAGGAGCAGATCACCAGGTGTTTTTCTCCTGTTGAGCCACTGGTGGGTTTGAACTGCTGACCTTTGGATTAGCAGCTGAGCACTTAACCACTGTGCCATGAGGGCAATAGAAGCTTTAAAATATACATATTCTTTGACCCAAAAATTCATCTTCTAAGAATGTATCTCAAGGAAGTAACCATAGATGTTAGTAAAGATTTTGCAGTGAGCATATTCATTCTAGTATTGTTTATGGTAGCAAAACAGAACAGAAAACCTGGAAACAATCTACTTGTTCAAAGATAGAGTTTGAGGAAAATAAAGTATTCATCTTTACAGTGGAATTCTTTGTAACCACTAAAAATGATATAGAAAAATATTGAGTCCATTCAAAAGATGTTCACAATATGTTATAAAGCAGGTTATTATGGATAAAGCAGGTTATTAGATCCCTATTTTAAAGGTAACTGTGATTATTTCGAATAAGAGTATCACCAAATTTTATTTCTTTATTTTTCTTTGTTCATAGGCTAAACTTTTAAATGTTTAGTGTAAAAAAATCAAGATTTTTCCTATTCGCCAATAGTTCGTTGTATATGAGACTAGTTTTTTTTTTTTTAAATGAAGATGAACATTTTACTTTTAAAGCCTTAGCAGTTTTGTCTTCCTAGTCTATGTGGATTCTTTAAAACATTAATTTCACAATTTTAGCTCAACCGAGCCATTTTATTTTCCAGTTTATAAAAGTAACTCACACTCATTGTAAAAAAATAAAAGTATTTTTGGAAAATAAAGAAAAATATAAAAAGCATCAATAATCATACTATTCAGTGATAATCACTGTTAACATTTTGGTTTATTACCTTTTTTTAATTATTAAACTTTTTATTTTGAGATAATTATAGATTTTTTTAAGAACAATTTTTAATATGGTTGAGAGTTTCTAAATATACAATTTTGTGCCCAACCTTTATCACCTAACATTATGTCATAAAAATTTTCCCACATACCAAAATTTTTTCTGGTAACATCACTTAACAGCTTAACCTTATTACTAAACCAAAAAGTACAGATTTAGCATCCATCAGATGGACAAACATGGAAAAGTCTGGCAATTTTAGTGTTGGTGAGGATATAGAGAAAACAGAACTCTCATACAGAGCTGGCAGGAGTGGGAAGTGTACAGCCACCTTGGAAAGACATTTGGCAACACTAAGGAAGGCTGAAAAATTCATCTAAGATCCAGCGGTTCTACTTTTAGTTATATGACCAGGAAGAATTCTCATGTGTGCACACCAAGGGACGTGTACAGAGATAAATGAGTATTGCATATAATAGTATAAAATGGAAACAATCAGAATGTTTATCAATAGGGTACTTAAAAAATAAAATGTATGTACAGAAGATGGAATATTGTTCAGCAGTTAAATAAAAAGAAATATATATCGACGTGCATCATTTTCAAAAACACATTGAGTGGAAGAAAACAAGTTGCCAAAAAGAAGCCTGTAATATACCTTTTATGTTTTAAAAGTCATTTGAAAAAAAAAAGTGTGTGTGTGTATATATATATACGTATATACACACACATATATACTATGCATAGTAAAATATAAAAACATTAATAAAGGAAGGAAACCAGCATGACAGTAGTTGCTTATGGAATGAAAGGAGGATTGAGATAAGTATAGAAATTCTAGGAAGTATACTGTTACATCAATTGCCATCAAGTCAGTTCCAACTCATGGTGACCCCATGTGTGTCAGAGTTGAACTGTGCTCCATAAGATTTTCAGTGGCTGATTTTTTGGAAGTAGATCACCAGGGCTTTCTTTGAGGCTCTTCTGGCAACTCGAACTGCCAGCCATTCTGTTAGCAGCTGAGCACTTAACTGTTTGTGCTTCCCAGGGAGAAGTCTACAGGGGCCTTTTTTATCAGTGTAGTTTACTTCTTTTATTAAAAAAAAGAGAGAAAAAAGATGATCTGAAATAAGTGAACAGGATGTTAACATTTATTAATTCTAGTCGGGGTGAGTACATAGGTTTTTAATGTATTATTATCTTTTTTTCAAATTAAAATAAATTGAACTTTTTAAAAAGTGCTGAGGATGGTGACCCTTTGGGTCAAGTTAGTGAGGTGACTGTGTGAGTCAGGGCATCTAATCTGAAGCCTTTCTGTTTTCCAGGCTCAAGTTTATCTTTGGCTCATCAGCCATCCAGGCCTTGGACCTGGTTGATCGACGTTCCATCACCTTAGTCTCCTCTCCCAGTGGGAGGCGCGTATACCAGGTAGAAGTCTGGAGGTGGGGATGTTCTCCGCGAAATTGTTTAGGACATGTTATGTTTTCATGAATCTCTGTGGAAGCTGGTGACCAGCTTTTTCCTAGTCTGTTGAAAAGCATTTGACCCAACCTAGTAAGATTAACCTATTAATAATTAAAATAAGATAAATATGACTTATTAAATTTATCCAGTAGCATTGTATAGAGCCAGAAATGATGTGAAGTGACTTTTTTCTCAGGTTTCCTGGAGTTTAGTCAACTTGTGCTTTCCCATTGTTTGATAATACAAAAAAAAAAGACAAAAATTGTCGTCAAGTTGATTCCAACTCACAGCAACGCTGTAGGACAGGGCAGAATTGTCCCATAGGGTTTCCAAGGAGCAGCTGGTGGATTTGAACTGCTGACTTTTTGGTTAGCAGCCATAGCTCTAATTAGAGATGCTTTTTTTCCCACATGAATTTATTGACATCTTCACTTTGTTCATTATCTCTTGCTTACAAGGAAAAGCCAAAATGCGTTTTGAGGTCTTCCAACCTGCTCATCTATCGGAAATGATCTTTCAAACTGTTGTTCAGCGTATTATTAAGGGTCAAACTGCTGAATGCAGGTAGTCTGCTGGGACCTTAGTTTTGCCCTCTCAGAGTTTACAATAGGTAGATTTGTGAAGTAGCTAGTACTTCTTATAAGATTCTGAAGTACTTTCATATCTGGCACCTGGGATTCGTAACTGCTATACCACACTGCCTGTCTTAGAATTTGAGACTTGAGTAAAGACTATATAAATAGTAGACCAAACCCCAGCCTCCCCTCCCACCCCTTACAGGTTTAGCTGTATGAGACAATGTTAAGTGCAGTTGGGTTTGAGAGGAGAAGCTTGTGAATGAAATGAAAATAGAAGCAGTGGTCTCCAGAATTTTCTGCCTGTTCTGAAAAGGATGAAAAAGAAGCCATCAGCTCTTTTATGTAATTCAAACTTTGCTGAAGACCAGGAAGGGGAAAGATTTTCAAAATATTTGAATTCTGGTTTATCTATGATGAACTTCTCGGAGCTGAAACTATGTCAGTTAACTCTTACTGAGTGAGTAATTTGAGCAAAGTCAAATAGGTACAAATAGTAAATTAACTTGCTATTCAACATTGTAGCACAACTTTATTCACCAGGGCAAAATCTTCTTAAGTTTCTTCATTAAGAGAAATGGAGTAATTAGTGTTGAATGCTCTAGTTAAATTTTTTGAATGGTATTTATTTACTCAAAAGATGCTGCCTGTTAGAATTTTCTCATGGTGAACTTACGGCAGAGCCACAAAATCATATTCTTTATGCCTGAGGAGATGTGTCTGTTTTCTTTCTTGGTATTTTGTTTTTATGTAGCTAAAATACCCTAGCTTTTCCTAAAAGAGAACGGCCTTCAATTTTCCCCATATCTTTTACTTCAGATTTTTTGTCTTCGTTCTGATATCAGTGTAAAACATAAGCTGGGCAAGCAGACTTCCAACTTCCCCTAGTTCTGTGATCTAGTTTTTAGTTAAAATTGTAATGATTTTGTGTGAAATGTTTTAATTATTTTTGACTTTTTGTTCCTCCCAGTGGTCACTGTGACTTTAGTTTTTGTCATTCACATTGTTTTGTATTACATTGCTTTATTAGTCATAAAAATACTAACTTCGTAGAATTATGGCAGTCACCTTGGACTTTGAATTAAATGAGGCTGTAGAAACCTTATACATCCTCAGATTGACCTGGCTGCTTTCATTGTATAGTAAAATGGTAAGAATTTGGCTTAATTCAGGAGTTCTATGAGATAATAAAGTTGAGTCAGATGCTGCCTTGATACGTAATTAGTTATCTTTCTATAGGTCAGCCCTCTAATGTTTTTACTGTCCTCTAGGTGTAATGTGTAATTATTTTAAAATAATCATTATGTTGCTGTCACGTGAGCTGCTTTTTATATTTTTTTGGTTCACTCAGGAAGGGAGAGGATGCATCAGCCAGGAGAGGCTAAGTTATGTAATGGCAACAATGACCCCAAATCTCAAAGGCTTACAAAAGTGTTTTCTATCTCATTCATGCTACATATCTATCACAAGTCATTTGCACTTCTGATCCAAAACATCTTCACTCAGTGGTCCCAACTGATGGAGCAGCCCCCATCTGGAACATTGTGGATCTCATGGCAGAAGGAAAAAGAGGACATGGTACACACCAATTTGTAATGTTTCTGCTTGGCTACTCACATTTTACTGGCTAAACCAGGTCGCTTAGCCAGCACGTATTTAACAGGGCAGGAATCTATAATACTCTTGCAGAGAGGTGCTGAACACGGGGGACAGTGATAACAGTTTACTAAACTCACTGTGAAGGATCCTAAGAGGCTTGGAGGGGTCATAAAATAAAACTGTATCCATGAATGGCTGATCATCTAGGTGGGTCACCCTCCAGAGAACCTAAATGAAAACCATAGCCAGCTCCCTCCAAGTGCGGTTCATACAAGTCTAGTCATGGGTCTGGGTATTCTCTTTCCTGCATGTTTCTTTTTTTAAAGTTCTCTCCTGGGGATGAACATTCTAGACTCTGAGTAGGAGAACTAGGAGCAGTTTCTGTAAGAGGAGGTCATTTTTCCATGGAAGGGTGAAGGAACTGAATTAGATGATCCCTAAGGTCAATTTCCAGTTCTAAACATTTCTCAGATTTTTATCTGATTATTGGGTTCACTAGCCATCCATTACTGGATAAGGAAAAAGTAGATTCAAAGTTTACCATCTGTTTACAGTATTTACTGCCTTAGGTGGTTGAACACTATTCTGAGTCGTAGCCAGTCTTTGAAAGGATCAGGCAAGAAAGGGACCCACGATAAGAAGGAACTAGTGAACCATTCAAGCCAGTGTGTAATTCCAGAGGCCTATATGTCTGCTAAAGCTTCAATCTAGAGAGAAGAGAGCCAGGAGATAAGTAAAGGAGGAAGAAGTCTAATGTTTTATTCGTTGGTAAAAGTTGGGAGACACAAGAATTATGCATGTCACTGCCGGGTGTTGCTGGCTTTTCTTCCAAGAGTAAGTAGAAAACTGTCTGCTTTAACACTCTTCTTTTGGTTTAAGTTTTCCAGACACTCTAGGGAAATTCCTCCACTGATGTGGTTTTTTACTCCCTAATTTGTAACTGGGGCCAAAATCTGTAAGGATACAATAGGCATCTTATTAATCAGTGATTGGCCATTTCTAGTAATTTAGCAACCCCCAAGGAATTTTGCTGACTTAGTCCAAATACTGGCAGGATCATGTAAATCACTGGACATGTTACAAACATAAGCAAAACACTTGAATCTGCTATTTCTTCTTTGGTTGTAGCCTTACTGTTGCTTAACTGTTTGTTAGGGAGAACGAGCAAAGGAGGGAGTGCTGACATTGTAATTTAGAAAAAAAAAAAAAAAGGCCTAGATTTTTTATTTAAATTGTCATCTTAGAGCCTGAAATTAATTTGAAGACCCTAGGGCAAAATTCCTCAGTGGCATTTCACTTGTACAAAAACCCTCAGTATGTTTCTACTTCCCTTGGAAACTAATAATAATTTTAAAATTCCAGTTTGGAAATAAACTCTAGGTATAAAGCCATCTCAGGAAAAAAAAAAAGACTGACTTCTTGGTAGTAGAGAGACTTAAAGAAGTGATTTTTCCAACAGATATGTCCATCACCGTACAGATTCATCATTATTTCCCTATAGCGCTCCTTTTTTGTCCCTTTTGGCTGCCATCAATGCTTCTTGTTCCTGGTCTGGGCCACTTACCAAAACCCCTGTGTATCTGTGGCCCTCCTTCCATCCTGCTGGATAAAGAGGCAGATCCCGGCTTGCCTTTTCCTGAGACCTCCACCCTGCGCAGCTGAGGCATCCCTTTTGCAAGGTTCTTGGCTTTGTTTTCTCCCCTCTAATATGCTTTTCAAAAGGCTATTCCCACTTTCTTCTCAAGACTCTGTCTTCCTCTTCACTCTACCTCTTTTGGTATTCTCCTCAGGCATGCAGTAGAAGCTTTAGAAATTTACAGATGGGCTGCGAAACACCAAAAGTTAAGAAACACGGCAGTAAAGTGTAGATGAGAGAAACTTTTCCCTCCACCTCAGTTTGTATGAGCATAGGCAACCCATGGAAGGGCCTTATGAGTCACTAAGTATGGGAATAAAATGGTCTGTGTGGATGGTCTAGCTAGCCTGAAACTCCTCAGTTCCACTGTATGGTTTCCTCAGGTACATAGCACTGAGAGGTAAGGAAGAGCCCCCCAACGCATGGGAGTTGAGTTTCCCGTTTTGTATAAAACATGGCTGCAGTTCTGCCTGGTGCAATTTGCAGAGCATCTCTGAGCCATCACACAGATACATTCAATGGAAGGAAGTGGTTTTCCAGTACACTTTTGAGGTCTGATCCTATCTCCTTTTCTTCCTAGGTACTTGGAAGTTCTGGTAAAACATACACATGTTTGGCCTCTTGTCATTACTGTTCATGTCCTGCATTTGCCTTCTCAGTGCTACGGAAGAGTGACAGCCTACTGGTGAGGATGGGGAAGGCTCTTCCTACTACATTTGAATTAGGAGAGAAATTGTTAGCCCTTAGTATGTGGTTTGAGAGTTGTACAAAATGGGAGCTTTACCATGTGTAGGAACAAATATTTATTGTCCTTGGCTCTAGCTAGTCATCTCTTTTGGATTTACTCTCCTGAAATGCAAGGTTATTTTGAGAACTGTATAAATGTTTATTTAAAAGGTCACAGATGAAGCTTTGGGAAGGACAATAGGGAAATCCCGGAAGTTGGTACTAGGGAATTAGATGGCCCAATAAAAATATGAACTAAGGTGGCTGTCGGTAGCTTTGTGTATCCCCATCTCCAGTTGTGAGGTAGTATCTTCCCACACTGCCCTTAAGAACAGCCTAGTACTTGGCTACACTTGGCTTTCACATGGGGCAGGACAGCACAGTATGCCTCTGCCAATTTCATAGGAGTCCAGAGCATCTAGAACAGGACATACTCACACAACTCCTTATCCAAAAGGAGAAGACAGTACCCACCTGAGAGCTGTAGCTATTTTAAGTCCTTTCAGAGAAGAAAATTATGGCATCTAGTCCATTCTTCCCTTTCTAAAGGAAACTTCTTAAAGTTAGAAAACATCTGGGGAGCTGGATGGCAAGTTGGACATGTCATTTTATAAGAGGCCATGTTCACAGTTGATACACCATGTTTATTTTACCTGTAAAATGACAGGACTCCTTTAAGATCTAAAGCTCTGTCCTGTAGGCATCCCTGTTGTCTCCCTAGAGGTGTGTACAGGCCAGTATATGTGAGAGTTTTGCTGCCACTTCCTCCCCACCCCCACCCCAGGAAGTATAACAGTGGTTAAGAAAGTAGACTCTGGACTTGGAGCACATGCTTAAACTGGGGATAATACCTGTCCTCGTAGGGTAGCTGTCCTATTTAAATGAGCTAATCTACAAGACCCACTTTGCAGCACAGTGCCTCAACAAATGTTAGTCATTAACAGCTTTCTGAAGGCAAGGAAAGCAGAAGCCCAATTTAGGACAAAAATGAGGAGCCTGTCTTGGTCTTTACCTTGGGTTATACACCTGTGCCAGCTGGATCTAAACTGTCTCCCAGAGCAGCAGGCAAAGTAAGTCCTCCTTTGCCACCTCTGACTCTTAGAATGCATCTGTCTCATCTTCTTTATCTGCAGTGTTTAGGCAGTGAGTTGAAGGCCCATAGTCAGTCCACCCCAGTTCTTTCCCACTAAATGTAATGGTAGTGGGAGGTCTCTGTTAGCCAGGCCAGCCTGGCCCTGCCTGTTTCTAATGGGCTTGTGTGTTTTGTATTCCAGTGCAAGCATCTCTTGGCAATTTATCTTAGTCAGGTAATGGGGACCTGCCAGCAGCTAAGCGTCTCTGACAAGCAGTTGACTGACATATTATTGACTGAGGAGGAACAAGAGCGTAAAGGTACAGACTGAGCATCGTTAGGTTTCAAAAGAGAAGTCCGTCAAGAAATATATTTTAAATTGTCCTGGTTCACATGAGAAGAGAGCTGAAATGGATATTCCAGAGGCTTCTTGTTGCTGTGACACTTCTGTCCCTTTTCCCACTTGGCCTGCAGGAGGAGCTGTTGGGTAGAACCCATGATGTATGTTTAGAATCCCTATACAAGTCTCCTCTTGAAAAATCTCACCAGTCTCTGAGCCCCTTGGGTAAATAATTTCCCTGGATGGAATCAAGCATTTTACACTCAAGTAAAGCCTAATATCATGTCGTGTCCACAGTTAGTTAGATTCTTAAGTAATCGAATTACTGGTAATTTAAAAAATGTTGGAATGGTAGACCAAACTGAGTAAGATGAAGTTTAAATTAAAAAGTAAGTGGTAGTTCTTCTCCTTGAGTCCAGAAAATTATTCTGCAGCAATCAAAGATCAGCGCAGAGAGATATAACTAAACAGCAGTTCTGGTTTCAGTAAGCTTCAGATATCTATGGTGTTGGCCAAAACAGTTTACATAGGCTGTATATCAGAGAGGTGGTATCTAGAACAAGGGAGGTGCTGGTTTCAGTATAGGACAAGGACTTCTTACTAGGTAAAGCTGTTTACAGCCAGAATAGGAACCTAGAAGGACAGGAATTCCCTATCTCTTGAGTGGTTCAGTAAACTTGCTAGGATATTGCAGAGGATTGAAGCAGTGAACAAACAGATAAAATTGTTGACTTTTGGGAGGGGTGGGGAGATTCACTCTCTAGATGGTAAACACTTGTTTTTGTGATGGGAAAGGTAACACTGAATGAGGGTGGAGTGTACACAGCTTGACCAAGGTCAACAATGTTATGGAGATATACACAAGAGAAAAGGGCCTCTTAATAATTTCTATGGCATATATAATTTTGAAAAAACAACCAAAAATATATGTGTGGGTGTATGCGTATACATGTAGACATACATATGCATAAACCAAAACCAAACCCGTTGCCATCGAGTTGATTCCGACTCATAGTGACCCTATAGGATGGAGTAGAAGTGCCCCATAGGGTTTCCAAGGAGTGCCTGGCGTATTCAAACTGCCTACCTTTTGGTTAGCAGCCACAGCTGTTAACCACTACGCCACCAGGGTTTCCTATATACGTATAGGTGTGTATATATGTGTGTATATATAGGTGTGTGCATCTATGTGACTGTATGCACATATATTCATATATATATATAATAAAGCACATAGGGGGCACAGTTAGAAATACTTCTTAGACATAACCAAACACCTCGCGGGATTGGACTTCTGGGTTTGAAGGATTAGGACCATAGTCTCATGGGACATCTCGGTCAACTGGTATAATATAGTTCATAAAATTATGTTCTACATCCTAGTTTGGTGAGTAGTGTCTGGGGTCTTAAAAGCTTACAAACAGCCATCTAAGATACAGCTATTGGTCTCTACTCATCTGGAATGAAAGACAAAGAAGGAACTAGTCTACAGCACAAATAGTCTACACGAACCACAGCCTCATCTATCCTGAGACCAGAAGAACTAGATGGTGTCCAGATACCACTACTCACCTTTCTAATCAGGGCCACAGTAGATGGACCCTGATAGAATGTGAGAAAATTGTGAAACAGAACCTCCTATTTCTGGCGGGGGAGAAAAAAAACACATACTGGACTGGTTGAGACTGGAGGAGTCCCTGAGACTACTGTCCGGAGATACTCTTCAGACCTCGAACTGAAAATAAGCCCTGAAGTCACCTTGTAGCTAAATAATAAATTGGCTCAGAAAACTAATGAATGTTACCCATAAGTACTGTGCTCCTTTAAAAAAACCACCTATATGAGACCAAACAGTCGACAATCACTTTGACACAAAGATGAGAATGTACAGGGGCAGGGAAACTAGATTAATAGAAATGGAACAACCAGAACAGAAATAATAAGAATGTTCACGCATTGTGAAGAATGTAACCAATGTCACTGAACAACTTGTATAGAAATTGTTGAATGGGAACCTAAACTGCTATGTAAACCTTCAGTGAAAACACAATAAAATATATATATATTTTTAAAAAAGATGATTTTACAGTCCAGGAAACCCTCACCCTATGAGGTGCTAGCAAGTGAATGCTGTGTGAAAAGCCAAATGCCACAGATGTTGCAATGTTCTGTGGCTGGCAGAGCATTTTGTTACTTTGAGGTGTGGCAAATAAAATCTGTCAAGACTTTTCTACTACTAAGGAAACTTGGGCTGGGTATAAACATAAGTTTTTAAAGCAGTCTTCAGGGTAAAGTACAGAGAGTAGATACAGTTCTGTATGACAAGCCAATGCCGTACCCTAAGCTTATTTTTTAAAGTTTTATTATTTCACCTAATACACATACACAGAGTTATATACTTTTACTCAGTAAAACTTTAATACTTTGCGTTCCAACATCTTAGCCAAACTTGAGGTTAGGAGAGAAGTCAAACACATTACCTAGCTCTAGAAGGGGAAAGTGGAATCTGGTAGAGGAGAGATCCCATTTCTTCAGTTTCTTCCTCTAGAGTAAATTTTCTGTACATGGAAAAGAAGGGAGCTCAAAACTGTTATCTGACAATATTCTACTGAAGAACTTAAGAGAGTATCATTTCCCTAAGTTAATACAGCAATTTCTTGATTGAAGAATTATACTTTTAGTTTTCCTGACTGCCCTAGGAATAAGTATACATTTTTAGTATATATAACTTTTTCCATTGTCTCTAAGTTTCAAATGTTTGCATTATAATACTTCATAGTGTTTCACAGTAAAATGGTTTCAATTATTTCCTACTATGAAAGATGCAGACTCTTAAAAAAAAGCTATCTTTTAGAATCCATTCACATGTCAGCATCATCCACTTAGTAAGAGCAGCTGAGTAGAACCATAAATGCCACAAAATATATTTGTCAGGCCCGGGAGCCTGGTAACAACATGTACGTATTAGCTAGATAATGTGGTAACTCCAGGGAAATAATCAGCAGAGGAAGCCCGTATGCTTGTGAGGTGTAGCTGTCTTTCACAATGAGGATCAGTCAGTCATGTCATGTCCCTTTGTTTATTGTGAATTTGTGCCTTCTTGAAGAGGCCAGAGCCTAAGTCATAGGCCCACATCAGGAGCAGGCTGTGCTCCCGCCTGCCCATTCCTACTCTTGAGGACATCTGTCTGGCAGAGAACATACCGGGAGATGATTTTGTGAAAAGTATAATGGAAGTCTTGGTTCCGGTAGGCGTAGACAATGGGATTGACAACTGAGTTGGCATGTGATAGGAGGATGGCCATGTTCATTGCCCACTTGGGCCTAGCCTTAGCTTGAGCTGGCTGAAAAAGAGTGACACAGTTGATAGCATGTACTGGTAACCAGCACAGAGCAAAAATTCCCACGATCATGGCTAGGGATTTGGCGGCGTGGATCTCCCGTTGAAGGGTGGTCGTCGAGTGGTCCACCAGCTCAGTGCGCTGAAGCTGCTTGCAGGCCACCAGGAAGATCTTGATATAGATCGCCAGCATTATGAGTAGTGGAGGCAGAACACATCCGAAGAAATTGAAGTATACCATGTAGCTCATGGGGACCACGTTCTCAAAGAGACACCTCACAAGGCAGCAGCTTTCATTCATGGCTCCGTTCCAGGGCTCTGTGCAGTTGTTGGTGGCACTTTCTTTGCTGTTCCATCCCAGGAACGGAGTCAGTCCAATGCCAAAGGCAAGGACCCAGAGGACAGCAATGACCCCTCTTGCCCGGGTCCCAGTGACCAAACTCTTATACCTGTTCAAAAGAACATCATCTGTTATGATCAGTTTACAATACTCTGTAACCAAAGGCTAAGACCCCACCTCTGTTTTTGTGCTGTAGCTCTTTACCCTTAGCAACCTCTAATGTTTATCCTCAGAGGGCACCATGACTCAACACTAAAGGCATGCAAGCAGGATATGAGCAGCTTTGCTTTAACAAGTTCAATAAGACTGTCATTATTGACTTAGTGATCACTTCTGTTTAGTGACAAATTACGGTCAATGACAATAGGTGGGAAGTTGTAGAGGAGTGCTTTCTAATTACTAGCTACTGACCTTTTAATCTAGGTCTTCTGTAAGGCACTGTTCTGGGTGGTGGAGATATACCAGTGAACAGAACACACAAAGATCCCTACGTTTAAGGGACTTAGATTTCTAGCAGGAGACAGTAATAAACAATAAACCTAGTAAATTTTATTATGTTAAAAGGAGGTAAGTTTGGTATGAAAAAAAAAGAGAAAGATAGGGACTGTAGTGTTAAAGGGGGTGGGGGTGGAGTGGGGGCTTCATTGATAAGGTGACATTTGATCCGTGGCCCCAAGGAAGTGAGAACTGGAGCCCCCCCGGAAGTGGACAGTACTACCTGGTGGCTGTAGAAGGCTCCTTCTGGTCTCCCGCAAATAACAAGAGGTTTGCCTCAGACCGTGGGCAGAATCATCCCTGAATACCTCTATAAACTGCTGGAGAACAAGAGTTCTGGCAGTGTCCCTAATGGTAGAGAAACGCTAACAGCAGAGTTGATAAAAGTTGGGAAATAACTTAGGAAATATTAAACATACTTTCTCAGTAATGTTTAAACCATTAAAACATTTAAAATCACTAGAAACAAATTACATTTTAGACACTTTGCTATAAATGCATGTAGATTAGTAACTATTCAATCTAAGGTACTGAGTAAATCTGTAACTTCTCGGGGGGGAGTATTGGGAAATTGTGGGACACACATTACATTTAGACTTATCTATGGGAAGTGTCAAATTTCCCTTGCCTGCAGGATAAAGCCCACACTTCTTGGCATGGCCCACAGAGCCCTCCAAGCTTCAGCCCCACATACACAGGGCCTGACACTCCTGATCAGTGACTCCCTCCTGGCGCATGCTGCTCTCAACACAAGGGTCACCTCCTTTCTGATCACCTCTCAGGCAGAGGAGCCTACTCCCACTCTGTGCCGCCTCCCCTCCTCACCTCAGAAAGCCTGTTTATCTGTTGACGTGTGCCTCCCCTCAGCGAGAAGGTCAGCCGCCTAAGGACTGGCATCTCTTCCCTTTGTGTCAGTATCTCCAGGACCTGCACAGTGCCTGGTACATAGTAGGTTCTTACTAAAAATATGGCCATTACAAATACATTAGTTATCTGTTACGTGATTTATCAGACAGCTTCAAAGCAAGATTCTGCTGATTGTGAACACCTGATGTTGCTGCCTGGACAGACAGGAGGACCAGTACGGTTTGCTGAGGAAGTTAACTGAGTTCTTGCTTCACAGTTCAAAGTGACTTCTGATCCTTTCTGCTCCCCATTAGGGCAGCTGTCATCAACAGGCAGTCAGTTGTGGCTCAGGTGCCACTGAACTTTTCTTGGCCAATGAATCCATCTATTTCCAAACCCCTTCTGATTCCCTTCTCATTCAAGAATGTAGAACCATTCCTTAAAAAAAAGTTGTTCCTAGCCATTGCCTCACTAGAGATGTGAAGAGTACAGTTAGTCCCTGCAAGATACCAAGGCAGCCTCCTAAAGGCCAAACACTTAGAATCACAAGATTTCAGATCTGTGAGGCAGCCTACTCAACAGCCCTATCCTTAACTCCTCCTCTGTTGTTCACCGATACGGCCCAGCCCTGCAGGAGGAATTATAGTCTGGGGAAAGCAAATATGGTGCTTCCATTCTCTTGTCAAGGGGTCAGGCTGGGGTGCATATGTGGAGTGGTCCTAGCCAATAAGACATAAAAGGAAGTCTGCTGGAGGACTTCTAAAAAAGATTTTAGTTCTTATAAAAGGAGAGAGACCCATGGGGAGAGCTCTCCTCCATACCCCATCTCTCCTGCTTTTGATGTGCTCATGGGAAGCTGTGATGCCTAGAGCTGCAGCAGCCATCTTGTGACCATGAGGAACAAGCCTGAAAACAAAGCCAGTATAGGAGATGGCAAAGCAGAAGGAAGAAAGAGTCCAGGTCCTTCATGACATCTTTGAACCACCAGACCAACACTAACTACAATGGATCCATATTCTTGTTATGAGAGAATTAAATGTCTTGATTGCTTAAGCCACTGTGTGTTACTTGTAGCTAAAAGCATACTTGTACAAACTGGAAGGGACTTCATCATTTTAGTCTAACCCTTCTTTCACAAATGAGAAATAGAAATATAAAATCTTTGTACTGTGACGAAGACAATATAAGAACTAAAGACCAGAAGCTAACTTTGGACTCTCAGGCTGTGATCCTTGCATTACATCATGCTGCCTCTTATTTCACTTGACTAATTTTTCTTTTAAAGCAGTATTGGACATGGAGCTCCTTGTACATGGAGAGCTCACAGGAGTGGCTTCCCACTAAAATTCAAAACAAAAACTGGAATCCACCCACATCTGAACTTCACAAAACTCCTGGATTCTGCACATGTGAAAAATGACTTTTATGCCAACTTGTCTTGGATAAGGAAAAGCAGCTGATTACATCAAGGGAGCAGCTAGTCACAGCTTTCCCCATAACCCCCATCATAGCCTCTCTTCCCTGTTGGTTCATTATTTCATTCAAAGAGTTCTTCCCTTCTACCAGACTCTCTGCTAAGCACTGGAAACATAATCACTGTTCTCATGGAACTCAGAGAGCCTATGGGTGGTGCAAATAGTAATGCACTTGGCTGCTAACCGAAAGGTTGGAGGTTCGAGTACATCTAGAGATACCTCAGAAGAAAGACCCAGTGATCTACTTCAGAAAAATCAGCCACTGAAAACCCTACGGAGCACAGTTTTACTCTGACGCACATGGGGTCACCATGAGTTGGAATCGACTAAACAGCAATGTTTTTTTTTTTTTTTTCCATGAAACTTAAACTAATGGAAGGGACAGAAAACAAGTAAGACCCAAATATAATTATAAATTGGGTTAAGTTTGGCCATACCAAAATAAATAGGATGCAGTGATAAGACCAAAACAGAGGGAGACCTCCTTAGACATAGAGTGTCAGGGAAGGCCTCTTTCAAGCAGAAACCTAAAAGTTGAGGAGTCAAAATACGAAAAGTACCAGAAGAACTAAATTGTGCCCAGCTATCACCACCAACTTTTCTGATCAGGGCCACAACAGATGGACCCTGATAAAATGGGAGAAAAATGCAGAAGAGAACCTCAAATTCTTAAGAAGTCAAGGCTTACTGAACCAGATAAGACAGGAGGACTCTCCAAGACTGCTGCCCTGAGATACTCTTTAAACCCTGAACCAAAACTAGCCCCTGAGGTTACCTTTTAGCTAAAAAACTGAGTGGCTCAAAAAAATAAAGAATATCACCCCTGAGTACTGTGCTACTTTAAAAAATCATCTATATAAGACCAAACAGTCAACAATTACTTTCAAACAAAGATGAGAAGGTAAGGGGGAAAGGGAGACTAGATTAATGGAAACAGAACAACCAGAACAGAAATAAGAGGAATGTTCACTCATAGTGAAGAATGTAACCAATGTCATTAAACAATTTGTGTAGAAGTCATTGAATGGGAACCTAAACTGTGTGTAGACCTTCACCTAAAACACAATAAAATATTTTTTAAAAAAAGATAATAAGGGCCCTGCCCTCTCACCCAGACGGCGCAGTGAAGTGGGATGGAGGGCGGGGTGGGAGCAGGCTTGTGACACCAACTCCATCCTTGGGCCCAGACCAAAGGGATGTTTCCAGCTCAGGAGGTGGACAGGACCATGTCTGTGGAGAATTTAGAGGCCCAGGTGTGGGAAGAGATTCTTTACGAGCTGTTCTTCAGTTCTTTACAGGCTGGACCATTAACCAAAGTGACTGCATGCAAAGACAGAGAAGGAAAGCGAAGGCTTTGGGATTTGTCTGCTTTAAACACCCAGAATCAGTGTCTTATGCCATAGCTTTGCTGAACGGAATCCGTTTATGTGGAAGACCGATAAATGTGCAGTATTGATTTGGGAGTTCTCGCTCTTCTGAAACAACTAACCAAAGTTTCGAGAGCTGTGTTAAGATAAGTTCACACAGCTACAGAAATGAAGAGGTTGTGGGCAGATCTTCAGTTCGCACACAGTTCTTTTCAATTAATAATGCTGCTTTACCTCTGGAATATTTTTTCTCTCTGAAAATGCAGTGGAATGCATATAATCCAATGCTTCAGCTTCCTTACTCTGAGATGACAGTGCCGCTTCCTAATAGCACATCCCTGTCTTCACTAAATTGCATTCCAGATTTAGAGACTGGCCCCAGCTCTTATGAACGGACTCACCAACAGCCAAGTGACTCCGACCCCTATCAGATGAATAAATGAAAGAGGCAAAATCAAACCAGTGACACTGACAGTAGCACAGAAAACAACAGAGGAAATGAATATACTCAAAAGTTCAGAAAGTGCGAGAAGAAGAAAAGGTGTTAGTATTACATTCAAATGAGAGATATACTTACTGGGCTTAATTATCTTAAAAAAAATATATTCAACCAAAAAAAAGAACACAGAGAAAATCTTAAATTCTAGAGTAGAGAGAAGAGCATTTCAGGCAGAGAGAAGAGCATGTGCTGAGGCTTTCAGACAGGAGAAGGCTGGCAGCAGTGAGGGGCGGGTGTCTTGCAAGAGGGAGAAAAAGGAGTGTGGAGAAGCACTGAGAGAAGGAGCTCCAGCCAAGTCCTGACCTGAGCTCCAGGGTAAAGTGGCAGGAAGGGTGCAGGGGAACCAATGTCTCACGAGAGGCAGGCCTCAGTCAGGGCCTGCGGGGGAGGGAACCGCAGAGAAGAGGTTGAGAACACAGGTCTTTGT